CCCACACTCCCTCTCGTTTCCGACCCATCTCCCCGGTCTCCATGTTCCCCACTTACCTGTGGGCTTTGCTCACCTGTTGACGGGGCTCGGTGGGGCCAGCCCCATGTGTAGGGTTACCACTTTTGAAATGCAAAAAACTGACACCCCCTCACCCCACAAGGCAAGCCTGTCGCAACCAGAACCCCAGTCACAAGACAACTCCGCAACCCCTCTTCAACAGCCACGTATAGTATGTAGAGAGAGAACACATATAAGATTGATAACATTGCACGTCTCCTCACTTTCTCATGACTCAAACCCTCTCTCACACACATGTGCGGTGTGCTTGTGTGTTGTTGGGCAGACAGCTGTTGTATTATCAACAGTTTTGATCTGTTATTGCCTAAACTGTCATTGTTTATAGCAGTGGTTCTCAACCTTTTTGGGCTCAAGACCCATTTATAAGTATTTATGACCGGTCAGGACCCAGTAAATAGTCTGGAGATGGAGGCTCTGGGGCAAAACCATCACTAGGCATTTTAGCAGCATATTTGTGCCCCCTACCAGAGGCAGCACATGGGGGCACACAGGTTCATGTGCCCCCTCCAACCCCCAGATTTTTTGGTTGTGCCCTCCCAACCTAGACAGATTGGGTGGTTGGCCTAGGTGAGTCAGGGATGGAGGTGGCATGCCCTCCCTGAGCCCGCTGCATGGGTAGGGTCACAACCTGGCTGGTATTTGACTGGCCTAGCCGGGTTTTTTACTGATTTGCCAGTTGCCAGAAAAATAATTTAATCTGCTGGGGGTCGGGGGGTTATGTGGGTGTAAGATTTGCATTATTATCACACTACACTGGGATCTCTAATGTTAAGCGTTTCTGTGTCCAGCTAAAGATACTGCAGTCTATAAACAATGACACTCACCTAAGGCCCAGGCTAGGCAATAGTCAGGCTTGGACCAATGATAAGTTTTAGCACTTTATGATTTCCCTTCCCCTCTCCTCAGGGTTAAAATGGTTAATTTGTAATAGTACCTCCAACCCCTCTTGGTATATTATAGTGTGCCCCCTCCAGGCCACGAGCTGTCACCTCACTCGGGATGGATCATGTGGTTCTCCTACTCTCAGACTGAGCCTTGGATTGCAGTTCCCAGGTGCTAATTGTGATTACCTTAGCACAGAAGTGCTGGAACTAGGGATGCTGGGGGTGTGGCAGCATCCCCGGGTTTGAAGTGGTTTCTATCATTGACAGGGTTTACAGTTTTGTTTAATGGCTTTCAGCACTCCTACTATAAAAAATTGTTCCGGTGCCTATGCCTCAGCAGGCCTGAACACAACATATTGTGTTCAGTATCTGCAGTTCTGTTCCTTTTCATTGTGGGAGCAATGATAGTGGTAAAACAATGACCAAGCAGCCTCCCTAGAGCAAAGTATTATTTGCTTAGAACAAAAGCTTTCAGTGCAAACAGATCTTAAAAACAATAGAACAGACTAGTCTACTTTTTCCTTAGGGCCATATCATTCCCTGGATCTAGGACGGCCCTACTGCTTAGACTCCATCCCTGTGTCCCTGGAGTCAGATTCGGACAAGTGTCCCTCCCCTAAGAAAGGATTTTAATTTTTTTTTGACTCTCCAGTCTCTAACTTTGGCAAAACAAAGCCTGCAACTTGTGGGAGACAGGATCTTTGAATCTAGCAACTTGCTCCATTGTCTTCCTAGTGTGTGTGGGGGTGGGCTTGTCTACATGTATTGTGTTGCTCTCCTCTTTGTCCCCTGTTAAGTTAGATACAATCATATCTGAAATTCCAATAACCCACCATTGTTATACAGTAACTTTACCTTACTGATCAGGTCACTTACAATATTCATACCATTATTACATAGAAGTATTCATAGAAGTGCCTCTTCCCTCACACTCACACCACAGGAAAGCTGGGAATCTACCCCGGCTAAATGGGACAGTTTTTATTTCCAGCTCTGGAAAGTCCTGAGAGGTTGGATCTTACAATCATGAAATTAATATGCACAGGAAAGCTAGTCTAGGTAATGTCTTAAAGGTTTTGAAAAAAAAAATGTGTTCTCTCCATCTGAGTACAGTTAATCAGTACAATACCAGCATGACCTTAGAGGCAAGTCGATAATACCAACAACATTTAAAACATACTCTGAGAAAAATCTGGGAAAAGTGGCATTCTACAAGAGGGAGAGGGGGGAGTGCAAAAGTTTTATTGGCAATCAGGGGGAACAAGCTCCTTAACTCAGCCATGGCTTTGCTACTTGTAACATTGCCACCCAAAAGCAATTACCATAAACATGTTGGGTGAGCCCTCTGTGTATTTTTAAAATCCATTGGCTCATTAGAATCCAAGAACTAGAAGAATCAGCTTGAATTGCATGAGGTGAATGAACAATTGCAACTTAATTGAAGTCTGTATCTCTCTCTTTCTTTCCCAATTGCTCATCCTTATTCCATCCCTCATTGGTCAAGGCACAGTCTGGTTCATTCTCATTGCTGCCCCAAGCTGTCAGTCCTTTGATTCCCCTCCCTTGATGACATCACTTGCCCATACATAAAGGCAGAAGCTGGTCTGGCTTCTATGATGTTGAACCTGTTGGGTAGAGGCAACTTTTAATCTATTAGGTAAGAGGTTTTATTTTGTGTCTTTAAATCGGAGGCAAAGTTGTTTAGAAGTGGTATGGAAGTTACTTTTGATTCTAAACTGATTGTTTTATTGTAAGAGGTTTGTTCTTATTTCTGTTCAAATAGAGTTACTTGGAATTGTTAAAGTAAATAGTGGCAAAGGCTACTAGTTGAAGGTCTTGAGAAGGGTAGCTTTCACCTCCCCAAATTCCCTTTGTTTGGCTTGTATTTATCAGATCTCTTCTATAGTAATACTGCTCAGTTCAGGAAAACCATGCCTAATCTCACTTGCATGAGGTGGCGTAATCTAATAAACACTAAAAAAACCCCACTGAAAGCTCTTATAAGAGGGAAACCCTCCTATATAACTTGAGGTGTGAAGGTGGCTTCAGGCAATAGTTCACTGCGGTGGATTGTTTTAGTCTGTCTTGCCACATCAATTTGGCCTCAAGTTCTGGAAACTCTAACTGGTGGTGCGGGAAGAGCTGTTGACCTTTGCACAGTAGTTCTTATCAAGCTTGGATTCTAGTGCCATCATAACTCTTAGTGAATGTTACTTACTAGCCTAAACCTTATAAGGGGCTAGGGCTCTGCCTGAGAGTTTCTTACTCAGAGTGCCATATATCTGCTCAGTAGGGCTACTAGTGCTCCTATGATAAACCAGCTGCCTCCTTTTTATATCAGTAGAGACCTTAACCCTGAAACTAGGGAGGGGAAGTCAAACTACTCTCAATCACATAACTGTTTGAGAGTAGGGTGGGGAAGTCAAGACTGCTGAAGGTTCTATGGCTGATTGGTTCCTCCAGCAGCTGATCTTGAGCACTTTTGGAATATATTGATTGCCTAGTAATGTGACTTGTATTACTGTAAGATAGCCAGACCTTTGGGTAGGTGCACTTGTATTAATCTAAAATGGATGAATTTTACTTGAAGGTCAGGCTTTTGTGCTCTCCACTGGGCCGTGACAAAGTGAAGAGGAGAGCATATTGTCTTAGTGCATGGCTATGAAAACGGAGCCCAGTATGAATACTGCCTAGGGAAGGGACAAAGCTTTGACTTGTAACTATTCTATCTTTCTCCTCTTTAGTGGTCTGACTAGACAATGTCTGAAAACAAAAGCCAAACTCCTGTTGTTGACACTCCAGAGAGCAGGGAACATGCACAGCAGGTTGGTAGCCCATGTTTTATGCCACCCTGCAGCAATCTGGCCACTAACAGACACCAGACAAATCTGCAGCAGCACATTTCAGGCTCTATAAGCACAGGCTCTCCAGGGGTCTAGGGTCTTGTAAAACTTGCTTAGTCATGAATAATGCTGCCAAACCTGGAAGAGGTAACTGGTGACTGAAATCACTGCTGTATTTCCATGAAGTACATGTGGTCTAATTCCAGCTGAAATTCTGAGATTCAAATCCCACAGCTATAGACAAGGACATTCCCTTATTGAATAGTTAAATGCATCAAATACAAAAGCCATAATTGGCTGGAGGGTCACTTAACCTTCCAGTCTATACAGGACTGGGAGTTTCTCATTCTTTGACTAATGTGTTAAGTGTGGGGGAAAACAGTCAAACCTCCCTTCATTCCACAGCAAATCTCTTCTTGATGTGACTTCTCTCTTTGCCAGAATGTGGTGAGCAGGGTGGCCAACTTGCCTTTGGTCAGATCTGCCTGTGATCTGGTTTCCATGGTCTACATCTGCACTAAAGAGAGCCACCCCCACATCAGATCTCTGTGTGATGTGGCAGCTAAAGGAGTGAAGACTATGACTGAAGCTACAATCAACTGTGCACAGCCAGTTCTGACTAAACTTGAACCTCAGAGTGAGTAAACCATGGCATAAAGATGTAGTGGGGGGGGGGGAGGTTGTCTCAAAGTGATCACACAGGCTTCAGTTGTGTAAAATCCCACATGAGAACCTCATGCTGGCTCATATCCTAGGTGGAAGCCACTCCCCTCCATCTAGCTGAGTGACTCAGGGCAGGTCAGAATTTGTCTTTCAGCATCTGAACAATGCCTCTCTAATGGAGACTTACCATTATTGGGCTTGACTGGTGTAGTGTCTGTACCTATACATGCAATTCTCTTTGAATGTGTGGATGAGGAACAGGTGATTGGAAGGGGCCATGTGCACAACTAACCTCTCATTGCAGTGGGTGACCTCTCTCCACTATACAAAAACTTGATCCTTCTTAGCAAGAGCAAGTTTGTACTTGCTAAGAGACTCAGTCCCTACCACATTCAGAGTACTAAAATCTCACTGAGTAACTCTGACCTCCAACCCAGTTCACTACTGAAAAGTAACTGCCAAACAGCTGTGCAACAAGTGTCAGTAATAGGGGTAGGTGATGTCTGATCACACAAGTAACCCTTAAGATGCTTAGTGACAAAAGCCTTCACTTTGCAGGGACAATGTCTCATGTACTGGGAGGGGAAAATGGCTAACAAATACGTATTACAGGCACTGTCAAGATTGGATTGAGCTGGTGAAAGCTGGCTTCAACCTTATGTGGAGAAAGTGTCTCCAAATGTGTGAATCAACTTGGAGTTTTTCTACTAACTATTCCTTGGTTAATGGGTTAAAAGGGCAAGGGCTACCTTGCCACTCAAACAAAACTCTTGCCACTGTGACCATGACTTAAATGCAGTGCAACTTGAAACATGCTTGAGCTTGGGTTTTAGCATAAACTGCCCAAGGAAACGTCATTGGATGACTTGACCCATTCACAAAGGCTAAGGAATTCTACCGTGGGCAATCCTTCAGATAACCCATGGAGGAGGGGGAAATCAGCAGGGTTTGAACCTTCAGCCCACACTCCTGTCACGTATGCTAGAGGAGTAATTGTTCTGCTCTGGGAACTCTACTGGAGGGGGATGTGGCACACTTTACCAAGGAGCTACACAACTATTGTCCAGACAATACTAATGCTGGGATTTAGCCTCCTGGATTCTATTTTAACCTTGCAGGGGAGTGTCATCTAGTGGTTGGAGGACATAGTCTAACAGATATAGATGGGAATGGGGTCTGCCATATTAGACAGCTCTTTTCTAGAGATCAAGTATTTTCCTCCACAGAAAGTTACAATAGACTTCATTTCATCACACCTTAGCTTTCAGTTTTTGCTTTAAAAAAGACCACTTTAATCAAAAGTTCTGTTTTTTAGGGAGGCTGGGTTTTTGACAAAGGGATAATCTTCACAATCCCCTGCAATCAATACCCTGATTTCCCCCTCCCCACCCCATAAACAGTTTGATCCTGCCCTACTACATTCTACTCCCACCACTAGCTTGGTGCAGCCTCTCCCTTAATTCCATTGTAAAATGGTATGGCTAACGACTGCCTCCTGAGGCAGCAGTTAGGGCTGCCAACTTTCTGATTACAGAACACCACCCCTGCCTCTTCCCTGAGGTGCCCCGCCCTTGCTCTCCCCCAACCTGGGATGGGGCCAGGGGTGAGGGTTTAGGGTGCAGGAGGGGGTTGAGGTGCAGGAAGGGGCAAGGGCTCCAGTTGGGGGTATGGGTTCTAGGGTGGAGCCAGGGATGAGGCGTTTGGGGTGCAGGAGGCTGCTCCAGGCTAGGAGGTGGGGCTGAGGGGTTTGGAATGCAGGAGGGGGTGCAGGTTGCAGGCTCTGAGAGGGAATAAGGGTACAGGAGGGGGCTCAGGGCTGGGGCAGGGAGTTTGGGGTGCAGGCTCTGGCTGGCACTTAATTCAAGTGGCTCCCTAAAGTGGCTAGCATGTTCCTGCAGCCCCTAGGCAGAGGAATGGTCAGGCGGCTCCATGTGCTGCCTGCACCAGCAGGCCCTGCCCCTGCAGTTCCCATTGGCTGCCGTTCCTAGCCAGTGGGAGCTGCAGAGCCAGTTCTGGGGCACGGGCAGCATGCAGAGCCTCCCTGGCTGTGCCTAGGGGCCTCAGGGACATGCCAGCCACTACCAAGAGCCATGTAGAGCCAGGGCAGGCAGAGAGCCTGTCTTAGCCCTGCTGTGCTGCCAACTGGACTTTAACCACCTGGTCAGTGGTGCTGACCAGGGCTGCCAGGGTCCCTTTTTGACTGTTCTGGTTGAAAACCAGATGACTGGTAACTGTTACAGCAGTAGGACCCCTTCCTCAATCAGGAATGCATTAGAGCAAAAACCATTAAACAATAAAAGAATCTACACCTACTACAAGCTTACCAGAGGGCACCCTCCACTCCACCTTAGGGCTCTGATAGCTTTTTAGTCCTCAAAACACCACAGGTAGGTTTCTCTGTGGCTATAAGTTCATCTCTGATCCTAAACCAGAACAAAGGTGGAGCAGAGCAGCTATTTGTAAGCTTGAGCTTCTGATGTTACCTGTTACAGAATGTCAATCAGCAGACAGGTGTAGCTCCAAAGTGGTGGATTTTTGCATAATGCAAATTCCCTAGCTGTGACTGACTTCACCTAGAGATTTCCCCAGAAAATCTCCTTAACACTTGTCCCAGAATGCCAGCCAAGTCCAGACTACTCTCAGTATAGCCCCTTGAACTCCCAGGTTTTACATCTTCCCCCTAGAGAGGTTAGGTGCAATCTTGGCCCACAATAGCATATAAACTTAATACAACAAGGGCAATTTCCCATAATATCCTTGAGACCTATGTGTCACAGATAGCTGTCTCCAATTGGATATCAGTCAGCAGCTTCCATCACAGAAGGTGGCCACCCTGTATCTTATCCTCATTAGGAAAGTGAAATGAGAATGGATGCTGAGAACCACTGCTTAGCCCCGGGGTGAAATCTAGGGTTATTGGGTGAGAAGCTCTGGGCTCCAACACTGGCAGATCTCTAGCCTTTGAAGACTGCACATTGACTCTGAGGAGCTGTGGCTGCCCCAACAGACCAGATGCAGCGTCTGCAAGGTTTTCCCCCCACTCTGGTTTTCAGACACCAATGGTGTTAAAGCCTAAAGATGGAACAGCTGGGTTCCCTGCATATCCCCACATGCCAGAGGAAGGTGGGAGGCATCCATGTCTCTAGAACCCTCCTACACTTTCTATATTAAACAAGAAACTGTAAGCAAATGGTCTTAAGGGATTAAGGTTGGGTAAATTCCCTTGGCAGCATCAGAGCATCCTTCTGCCTTTGACAGATAAGGAAATGTGCTACACAGTAATCTCCCTCATGGTACAATGCAAAACCTCAATTACAACCTCAGTAACACTTGCTAATAGTAAGCATTAACAAGTGCTGCGTCTGGGGAAAGAATGAGGTCACAACAGAGGTCTTGCTTTATGCTCTGAGTCTCTTGTCTGGAGACATTTCCACTGAGTAATTACATGTGGTATTGGCACTGGGTTATAATAAAAGGCTCTCATAACATGCAAGGAGATACCATATTAAGATTTTTCCTGAGGTAGGTTAACAACCCTATAAATGAAACTTCCCCTTTTCAATTAGATTTCATGGGCAAGTCTCCTTCAGTGAGACCCTCTCTACTCAAACACTTCCCACAACATGTTATAGGCAAACACTATATTAACATGCAAGAAAGCTCCTTCGTGTCTTGGCCTATGGCAAGGATATTGCAGAACCAGAAAATCAAAGAGCAGGAAGGACCATCAGCTACTAGAGTCCCCCCTTCCCCCACCTTTTTTTTTTTTTTAAACAAAGATTTGGGAAACTTAATTCTTAGTGTCAACTTTTACAGTTGCAACAGCAAATGAATTTGCCTGCAAAGGACTGGAAAAGCTGGAGGAGAAACTGCCAATCCTTCAACAGCCGACTGATAAGGTAACTAGCTCTTTGAGGCCCTAGATGGAAGGGAGGACCATGGTCTGATAAATATTTCTATCTAGCTAAATGCTGTCAATCCCTTGAGTTTCAAGACTGGGTATGGTAGGAACTGACCACTTCCTCACTGCTGTAGCTAGCTAAACCTTGTGCCAAAGCTTCCCAACTTGGATGCCTAAAGTGAGACCACTAACTAGAGTAGACTGACTCTCCAGCAAGGTTGTGCACTTCTGACCCCTGCTGTGGCCTTCTGACCATTTTAGTGGTGTCTACGCCAGTGACATGGAGTCCTCTCTGCAAGCATCCCTTGAGGGGTCACGTCTGCTTCTATCCTGTAACTCTTTAATTCCCGCCTTGAAACAGTCATGAATGTGAAGTAGCATGAAGTGATGACCTTTCACCTTTTCTAGGTTCTTTTGGATGCCAAAGAGTTGGTGACAGGTACCAGGGATGCCATGAACAGCAAAGTGACTGAGGTGCTGGACAAGACCATGCAGGCAGCCAAATCAGCAGTAACCAGCAGCATGAGCACAGTCATGGGCTCCAGACTGGGGCTTGTGGCTGTGCATGGAACAGAAGCTGTGCAGGAGAAATCAGCAGACCTGGTGGATCACTCCCTCCCCATCACAGATGATGAACTAGGTTGGGGGAAATACCTGGATGACACTAGTACACCATAGCGGTTGGCCTTCCCAAACCAAAGCATAAGTCTTGGACTCCCCTTGCACTAGATTTTTCTCGTGTGCCAATGATCTAGGTCTCAATCCTATTACTCTGACTAAAGGGCTGCTAAAACACTACTTAGATACATGCACCCAGAAGAATGTTTCCACAGCAGTCTATGGGAATCAAATGTAGATAATGGTCATCAATAATGGTAACTGTAATTCCAGTCAGTCTCTCTTCTGGGCAACCTACATGACAGTGGAAATGGAATGTAGTAAGGCCAGGGGAGGCTCCCAAGCAAGTGGCAAATACCACTTAGATGGGGAACACCTACCTTCCAGGGAGCTGATAGAGAGGAACATGGAGGTGAAGATACTGGTGATGTATTCCAAAGGGAAAAGGCTACTGACTCAGATGTTAATGAGGGCTCTGAAATAGCCATGGTCTTGCTGACTGAAGCCTCTGCACTGGCAGGGATGCCTAAATTGTGTGTCCTTCTCTTCCTTAGCTAAATTAGCAGCCTCTGTGAAGGGCTTTGAGGTGGCTTCTGTGGAACAGCAGCAGAAGTACTTTGTGCGTCTGGGGTCTCTGTCCCCTGAACTCCGCCAGTGTGCCTACCTGCAGTCCATGGGCAAAGTGAGACTGCTTCATCAGAGCATGCAGGAGAACCTCTCTCAGATCCAGCACACCATTGACCTGGTAGGCAGTCTTTAATCTGTGCTAGTAGCTTTTGGGGACAACCCTGCCCCAATGGGCAGACCACAAAACTTTCCTCTAAAATATTCTGGCTTAACCTACATAACTGCAATCATCTCTGATATCCATGGGAGACTTGTCTGACACTTCTGTCCAGCAGATAGTCTGTCTGTACTGGAACCCTTTGCTTCCTAGGCTGGTCCTCCTACAGTAAAGTTTGAAAACACCTTGTTCTTGTCCCCACTTCAGATTCAGAATGTCAAGCAGAGTGTGGGTAAGAAACTACACAAGGGTCAGCAGAAGCTGCACCAGTTGTGTCTGGAGTGGACTAAGAAGGAGCTTGCAGTAATTGACAAGGGATCTGCACAGCCAGAGGTACTTGGATACTAACTCATGTTGGCAGTGGTGCTCTATCCTGCCCATTTTAAATATAAATACACACACACACAGACTTGCTTTACCCCAGCAGGTGGATACCCTGGTTCTGGTCATGTCTTGGAGAATCACCCAGCAGCTGCAGACCATGTGCCTGAACCTAGTCATTATCATCCAAGGCCTTCCTACCAGCATTCAGGACAAGATGCAGCAGGCTCATCACAATCTGCAAGAGGTCCATGCTGTCTGCTCCAAGGCCAGCTCCTTCCAGGGCCTGTCCACCAGTATCCTGACCTGCAGCAAGCAGAAGCTGCTCAGGGCCCAGGAATATGTGGTGCATAATGCTCCCCTTTCCTGGCTAGTGGGACCCTTTACCTCCTGTGGCAGAACCGCTGCAGAATTGCAGCACCGGGAAAATAGCAGGGTTCTCTAATCTGTCCCTACCCTACAAGCATCCTTGCCAAAGACAAGCATTCCTTTTCTAGTCAAAGGCAGCCGATGGGGAAGAATAACCTGGTATCCTAGAGAATTGCTGCTCTCCTCCAAGAGGAGGTGGAAAGTCCACCTATCCAAGCCTGCTAGAGAATCCTAGTGCTAGCATAATCTTGCAGGAAATCAACTGAAGTGGTATTGATGAGCTGTGTGGGCTCTGAACTACATTCCCCACCCACACTTAGGCAACACCATGGGTTAGATAATACCCCTTAAGCTGGAACATCCCTTAGTGTCAGTCTTGAGACCTTAAGGTGGTTTGCCATGTGAATTGTACATATCAAACATGTAGTTCTCATCGATCAGTCATGTATTGTATTGCTATTCACTTAATTGAAGCTGTGTGGGAAGGAATAGAGTACTAGGAGACATAACCTAGGCAGGGGTGCTTCAAGCATTTTCTAGATCATTTCACAGCCTAGTACAATCCTCCTGGACATGGAGGGTGTAAACCTTGAATTAGTAACCCATAAAAATAGAACTAACACACCAGTTATGCACCTGTCTAGAGCAAAAATTTCTAGAGGATTTCTTTCCCGTGCAGCAGCTGGTTAGCTAGACCCTGAGATGCTGATATCCTAGTCTCCCCTATACTCTAAGCAATAAACTGCTTGTATTGTAACACTTCTTTGTTAGAGTTAAATGCATAGAAGCAAAGCTGGTGGGGTTGTCCAAAATGTAAAAGCTGCCTCGATGTGACTAAGATCTCTACTGAAAACCATTTTATTGTTGAGACTAAACGTGTGCTTTGATGCATGTGTGCTCTCTGTCTCACTAACTATTCCCCTAACCCTATCTTAAGCTGGGAGCAGGAGCCCTGCTCCTTTTGTTAGACCTTCCTTGCCTGTTACTCAGGCTGGGTGAACATGGGAGGGGAGGTCTAAAGCGTGGAACTTTGCAGAGGTTACAATCTACCCCTAACACTCACCATGCAGCTGGCAGGAGCAGGGGAATGACTTTTGTCCTTCCTGAATCAGGATGAACTAACTGTGCTTAAAGGTGTGCACTGGCAAGTCCTGGCTCCTATTCCTACCTCCTAAAATGTGTGCATGTAGCAGCAGAAGTGCGACTTGTATCCTTACATGGTCTCATAGGTGCAGAAGAAACAAAACTACACAAGCTTTCCTCTCCAGGGAAGTGCTCTGTGTGCATCAACACCACTCTTGGGGTCTCCTGAGCCATGTGCTTATTGAACACAGGGTGGAGTGGCTTAGTCAGCACTGAAGGGTAAGTGTCAACCCTAAGGTTGACAAGCAGGTGTTGCGTCTGCACAGGGGATAACACAGCAGGGCTAGAGCAGTATCTACTAGGGGAGTAAGTGAGCTAGAGCCTGCTGCCACCACCCCACAGTTGTGTTTTCTAGGCTAGGTCCCCCTTTCACCTCTTCAAGTCAATGGAGCTAAAAGAAGACTGTTGGCTCTTACCAAGGTGCTTGTTTCCCATACAGCAAGAGCGAACATAGTTCTGAAGTAGATTAATGCTTTAAGCCCTCATGGGGGGGCCTGAACAACACCACTACCCCATAGAACTCCCTCTCACCCCTAGTTTCACACTCCAGTAAGCGGAGAAATCAATATCTTAGCTGCTTTGCAGGAGGAGGTAACATCTTTCCTAAGGAAAGGTTCCTCTTTCCTGAGGAACCTATAAAAGATGAATGAGTGAAGCTTTCTTGCCTATGTACAGCTTCTTGCCTGCTACCTAAGCAACTGCAGCTGTTGGAAGTCAGGTGTCCTCTTATGGCAAAGAACTAAAGTATCAAATGGGACCAAACTGGGTGGGGTCATCAGTATTGTGGCATGTGACATAAGGTTTAACCAGGTTGGGGACAGGGCCAGCTCTAACTTCTTTGCCACCCCAGGCAAAAAAGAAGAGCGCCGCCCCTGCGAGCGCCGTGCAGCCAAGCCTCCCACCAGCACCGCCAAAATCTCCGCCCTCCCAAGTACCATGCTGCCCACAGCCCCGCCCCCTCCCAGCACCGCCCCACCCGAAGCTCCCGACCCCTCCGAGTGCCGTGCCAAGCCCCTGTCCCCCCAGTGCCACGCCAGTCCCCCGCCCCCCTCCGAGCACCGCACCAAGCCTCCCCTTGCGAACGCCTTGCTGCACCAGCCCCCAGCGCCACGCCAAGCCCCCGCCCCCTCTGAGCACCATGCTGTGCCAGCCCCCGCCCCCCCTCCGACTGCCACGCCAGCCCCTGCCCCCCCGAGTGCCGCACTGCCCGAAGCCTTGCCCCCTCCAGGCGCCGCAGAAACAAAAAATCCCCTCCAGTGCTGCCCCGACGAACCAATAAAATAAATAAATAAAAACCTGCATGCCACCCTGCCCCAAGGTGCTGCCCTAAGCACATGCTTGGTCGGCTGGTGCCTGGAGCCGGCCCTGGGTATGTGTGTGTGGTGGGGGGGGAGAGAAGCTAGCTCGGTGCATCTTGGAGAAGTAACCTAACCATTATGAATGTAACAGCATCTCTTTGCGAGTGGCTAAGTAACTACCTCTAAATACGACAGCAAAAGTCTACCATTGGCATTGCAGGAAGGCTAAGTATCCTTGAGGTGGGCATTTCCTAACTTGAAGATTTGACTTTACAATCTTAAGTCCTTTAATGCACTACTTTGTTGAAGTTTACCTAGAGTCTGAGTAACTAGAGTTCTCTGAAAGTCATATGCAAGGATGGAGCAATACTTCAGGATAGCAGTAAGTGATGCATCCACTGTAAAAGGAAGAAAATTAAAAAGCTTAGTATGGAGAGGGCCATTTAAAACTCTCACAGGGAAAACAGAGCAACTGGAATGTACCTAGCAGCAACTAGGAGTTTAAGACTGCAATGGACATGGGCCATCTCTGCCCTGAGGAGTTTAGTCTAATCTGAGGGACATATACTTTTAGTTAAGCTCTGAAAAACCAATTGTCCTGCAACTGAATGAAGTTTTCAAACCTGGAATGAATAAAACCAGAAGTTATATTGTGGAGATGGAGTTTATGCAGGCTTAGAGAGATGGACTAGAAGACAGAAAAGGTCTTTTCCATATCAAACTACATGTAGTAAGAGCAAGAGAGAATGAGGGGCAAGTAATAGGTCATCACAGAGAAGGATGATGTGAAAGTCAAACAGAAACCTCTAGGAAGTTGATAAGACCTTCTACTCCAGAAGCTTGCTCAGGGAAAATAGTTGCAAGGTGGGATGCAGCTATCAATATGAATAATGGCTCAACAAAGGAGCAGCTATATATAATTAGCCTCTTCCCTGACACAGCTGAGAGAATGGGGAAATTTCTGTGAAACAAAACTTATTTAAATGATAAGCAAATGTCCTTGAAGGCATGGTTGATCTTCATAATGAAAATACTACTGTTGTCACCACTAAAAAGCTGATGTTTATCTAGTTACCACCCTAGAATATGACATATGCTATTTCCCTATACTTACTGCAGGAAGTAATTTCTTTAGTTTATATGCTATCCTGCATGAACCTACAGTGAGAGAACAGTGTTACAGTTGAAAAGTCAAGCTCTCAAGTTAGAAAATGCTAGATGAAAGGTTGTTTTGTGCATATCTATCTTGGGCAAAAATTTTGTGGCAAATAGTAAATTCATCAAAAATGTATTATTCAGGACACCAAAACTAATCATGAACTTGAATTGAGTTGTGTGAATTGTTTCATCAGGAAAAAAGAACAACCTTGATTTCCTCCCCCCCCCCCCCGCAAATTTTGTTTCCAAAAAATGTCAAATTGAACCATTTTGGCATTTCATTTTGACCTGTTTTTTGTTTTGGTTTGAAACCGAAAAACCTGGAAGAAAATTCACTGTTTAGCCACCGAACTGAAAAAAATCAATTATTTGCTCAGCCATAATTGTAATACAGTCTCTACTTACATGGTCACATTGCACTTTTTTCAAAAGGACTCCTGCCTCATTTGATGCATAGGAGGAACTGCGCTTGGGAAATGAGGCAGCTTTTCCATATATTTTTTTTGTATCATCATTCACTTCATTCCAAGATTTTATTGGCTGCACTGGAGGAGAACCAAAAGAGGGTCACTGGAAAATCTCACATGAGTGACTAGAGTTTCTCATTCTCCTCGCTATGTAGTGCAGTCTGTCATGCTAGCTCATAGTCTGCATTATTAAGATCAGGAACCAGTACAGGGGGGAAAAAAAGGGAGCAAGTGTAACCAACAGACCCCAGTTGCGGGCGGGTGGGTGGGATGAAAGCTGGGACCTCTGGAGCTTACTGCATGAGCTAAAAGCCGTATGACTTGTAGCTAAGGCTGTAGAAAACTCTTTTTCTCTCTCTCTCTCTCTCTCTCTCTCCGTCCCCTCCACCCTCCCGCCCATCTTGTTGGAAGACATGGAGCAAGTGACTGATGGTGTGGTTCTGCCACTACTCCTTCTTGCAGGACAAATGTGTCTGTTTTGCAGTACATGACCTGCAAGAACCTCGGTTGAATGGCCTCAAACCTTTCTCACAAGCCAAAGGTGAGAGACTGAGACAGTGACTGATCCACTGATGCTATATGACAGAGAAACGCAGGAGGTTGCTGATGTTGTGACTGTATATCTATGACCGGACCACTGCTTCTGGGCCAGGAGGATCAGCACAGTGTGGTGGGATCATATTGTCTTGGAAACCTGGGATGATAAGCTGTGGCTTCAGACTGAGGAAGCAGATGTTCCTGGAGCTCTGAGAGAAGTTGGCTTCTACCCTACATTGGCAAAACACTTGGTTCTGGAACAAAGCGCCACACCCCATGCAGTTGTTGTAAAAACAATCCCAGGAACAACACCTTGCAGGGAGTATTCCCACTCACCCTCCTGCTGATGGTCATTAGCCAGTCGTTTAGGTAATGACTCGGTACAGATAATTGGGGCAGTGCACCTCTATGGGTACAACACCTTCTGGCTTATGATTGTTCTGCGGAGGGTGTCTGCCAAGTTAAATTGCACTTTCATTTTGTGTTAATGCTCTCAACTGTTAGCCGCACCACAGATTAGGGGGATTGCTTAATGCCTGAGAACCTTGAGAATAGATGGTGAGGGGATGTGGCTGTTAATTGTGAGTAATCCCAGGGTTCAAAGTGGTGCTAATTTTTGAGGGGTGGAGGAAGGTGGTATTTTAGCACTGTTCAGGGTGTGATGACAGGTATTTCACTTTGCTTTTCCTGTTCTCTGTGTTCTAAAACCCACAGGGAAGTTCACCCAGCCCACGTTTCTTTCCCCAGTCATAAAGTTACCAGTTATTTCTATGCACAGTGTACTTTCCTCATGGCTCTAGTTTTTCTGTATTCACACGCACTTGGACTGGGGATTGGGAGGTGGTTCTGGGAAGGACAGGGAGGACTTTACAGGTCTCTGCC